AGAGAGGAAATGAATCACCCACCAACCTTGGAAAACCAACCTTGGAAGCATCCGGATTTGTGGCTCTTTTCTACCTTGTTCTTTTCTTCTTCTTCCCTTCTCCTCCCTTCCACCATATGGCCAAGCTCTTTCTCCCAAAGCCGCCGGCCACCTCCAATTCTTCTCACCGCCGGCCAACCCTAATCCCACATCCCACCTCTTGGTCAAGCTCCAAACCACACCCCCTCCCTACCCGGCTAACACCCCCATCCGCCCCATCTCCAAGCCACCCAAATTCCCACCCCAACCCTAGCCTAGTTGTCGGCCTATCCCCTACTCCTTGCCTCCAAAATTCAAAACCCCTCATCATTACTTTCCTTCTCTACATAACCTCTTTTGGGAAAGTCTTGATTTCAATTATTAAATCAATTTTGAATTTTGAAATATTTCCTAAAATGGAATTCTATTTTAGGAAAGTTCTTCAAATCAAATCCAAAAATTTTGAATTGGATTGGATTTAAATCCTCCTCCTTAATTTGGGATTCCCAATTAAGCAAGTAGTAAATCCCCGTCCCTAAACCCCCATCCCCATCACCATGCCGCCGGCCCCCCTTCTCCCTATCTCTCTCTCCCCCACATTAATTCCCTTCCCTCTAATTACTTCAATCAAGCCTCTCATTGGAGATTGATTTTCCCTCCCTTTCTCTTTACTTGAATTCAAACTTCAAACCCTACCATAACCCTAACTCCACCAAAATCTGAACCTAAACTCTCCCAAACCACCTACCTTGGCTAACCACTCTCCCATCCCTTCTTCTACTTGGATTCTTTGGAGAAACTTCTTTCTCTCAAGTAGAATCCTCAGGGACAGCAAAGAGTGTCTTCCACAGTATTTCAACGCCGCGTATCTTATGCATGGTCAATCCTGAACTCAACTCCTTGTTCGTCTACAACGAACAAGGCTTCGTCAACATCCTCCGATCACCCTTCTTCGACGTCAATCCGAGGTAGATAATTCCGTCGAGGAATGCTTGGAGCAGATCATATTCACTTTTCAGAGCCATCGAAGAACAGCTTTCCACCGTTCAGTGGCAAATCACTGTCATGCCAAGACAAGGGTGAACTATTTCTCCCTCCTCAATTTCCTTCCTATTCTCCATCGATTGTGGTTGTGTATCAAGTATAAAAAATCATGCAAAGCTCTCTGCCAAAGCTTAGTAAATGTAGGGAATAAGTGGTGGACTTCTATGCATCTAATCTCATTGTTAATCTAGGGATGTTATTGGAAATCCTCTATATTTGCTTACGTTGAATTTTATAATTGTTTTGTGATCCTAACTATTATTGTGTGACTTGGCCTAAACTAAGGCACCACTTTCTTGTTTTCCATTTTTGATAAGTGGCTAATATTTAATTCTTATTGCTCTTACTTGAAAGCGTGCAAATTCTTATATCCATCATTTAAAGCATTCATAGTTCTACACCACTATTTGTTGCGTTTACTTTTTATCTTCATGGGTGGCTAACTAATTTTATTTGAACTTATAAAAATTTAGAAACAATGTATTGCATAGAGTTGACTTATAAAATTATAAATTGCTTAACATTATTTTTCAATCCTCCATGCTTCATTTAGTTTGTGTATAGGCCATGCATAAACTTAAAATCTAGTGTAATATATAGTCTCAACGGAGGAGCAGAAAAATAAATAGAGGAATTAAAATGTAATCTTCCCATACATAGACATATATTGGTTAGTATTATGGGATATTAAGGAGAGAGATAAAATTTAGTTGGGAGGAAGCCTAGCTAGGACAAGCTCTATCTATTGCATGCATATGTTTTTAAACATCATAGGTTCAGAATTTTAAAAATTGTTGCATTTATCTCTTGCAACTACAGTTTTTACTTTCAATTGCATCAACTCTTACTAATCGATTGAGAAGATACATATAGTGGTTCAATTACTATATTATCAACCGAGATAACCTCTTTGTTCTTCTTTTTTTACATATGGTATGATTTGTTTTGATGAACTCTCTGCTTTTTCATCATCTTCTATTTTTCTTTTTTATGATGAACTATCTTTTGGTAGTGGCACATCTTCTTTGGCCGATGATGGTGGTGGAGGAACATCTTGTATTGGTGGTTGTGAAAGAAGTTCTTTGGCCAATGGTGGAGGTGGAGGTATTGGTGGTTGTGGAAGAAGTTCTTTGGCCAATGGTGGAGGTGGAGGAACATCTTGTATTGGTGTTTGTTCTGAAGGATTCAAAGCTGTATTTTTCACTGATTGGAAGCTGGAGGCAGAACTAGATATATGCGGCTTCTCTGGATTATGATCACACTGCATTTGAAATTCAATAAATTTGTACTTCAGGGAGTCTTGATCTGCCTGAAATTTCTCCACAATATCTTCAACACGATCCAGTCTAGCTCCCAGATTTTCTTGAATTTTATTCAACATCTTCTCAAATATTTCAAAACATTTATTCTGAACAGCCTCTAAATCTGCCCTTCTAATGGGTGGCTGTTCAACAGAAGGTTGAGTGGTGGAAATTTTTTCAGTAGGTGGACGAGTAGAAAGTTGAGTTGGTGGCAGAGGTTGAGTTTCTGGTGGTTCATTATGAGGAGAATCAGGGGGAGAGAGAGGGGGAGAGGGAGGTGGGGAGGGAGGTGGGGTGGAGTCAAGTTTTTTTCTTGCGGAAGCCTTAATTTTCTAGGATGACTGCAATTTCTGTATTTCATGACCTGAACGGGTTTCCAAGTTTTGTATGACAATAATGTTATCCCCGTATTTTTCGGCCTCCTCATTGCTAACATTCTCAAGACAAACATAAATATTCAAAAAATATAAAATGTATTAATTTATTAAAGCGCAACCTTAGCGCAACCATGGCGCAACCGTAGCGCAAAAGTAGCGCAACCTTAGCGCAACCGCAGCGCAACCTTAGCGCTAAGGTTGACGCAACCTTAGCATAATTTGCATCATGTACACGAAAAAATTACCTCACTTTTCCTTAAAATTTAAATAATTTTGCTGCATTCTCTTGAGTAAAGTATAATTCTGTATACCCCTCCCATCTCAAAAAACGCGGTCTTATTTCTGGATCGAATGGTTTATTCAAAGAAAAATGTTCCAAAAACTAAATCTGTATAATGCCAAACATAAAAATTTAAAAGTTAACATTAAAAAGCATTATATATGTAGAATAACCAGTAGGAGTGGAAACTTACCAGTAGAAGAGGAAAAAAACCATTGATGTAACCCAATGATCTTTGCAGTTGAAACTTCTCAAAAATTATGTTGAACTCCCCGACCATGAAGTTCCTTAAGCATGAAGCCCAATTAATGGAAGTGAACTCATTTAAATTATTTGCAACAGATGTGAGCCTTCTAGTGGTTTTATGGTTGTTTAGTGGAAAGAAAATGTTAGATAATAAAAACATAATAAAGGTCTTTATTTTTGTAGCATTATCAGATAATCTGTCTAATTTTGACATTTCTATTTTAATTTCAATTGACAGAGGTCCATTTAGAGGATCAATCCTCCATTTGATATCAATGCCTCTGTTTGGCAAACCTGTTAGAAAATTTTAGTTGTTAAAGTTAAAAAAACATATAGCTATAAAAAATTTCATATTCAAAATATTACATATCAACAAAGCAACCTCGTTAGAAGTGAATTTCAGTACATGACCAAGGACGATGAAGCCTTCATCAGCAGGACTCCAAAATTTGAGAACCTCAAAAAGAAGTGGTATACACTGCTGGAATGCGGGGAACTTCAAAAATTGATGAATATTCAGATTCTTTAATGTTTGCTCCACTTCATTATCAATGATCTCGACAAAAGCATCACAATGTTTCCGAAAAGAAGTAACATAGCATCTAGATGTTACTGACCTTTGATATGGCGTCCTCATCTATAACAACAAAAAAAATCAGAACTATATCGCAACCATAACTAAAGCGCAACCTTAGCGCAACATTAGCGCAACCTTAGCGCAACAATACATTTCATAATTATTTACCTTAAAAGAAGGTTTAAATTCAGAAAAAAAAAACAAAAATTGAACACCATATTGAACATATATGCTAGTTATACAACTATTACTAAACTCTAAAATTTAGTAGAAAGCGTAAATCTTTCATATCATTTGCATCCATTTACGAAGAGAAGAAGCGTGAAAAATCAGAAAATAAACATTTGAACAGTACATTACATTAAAAAAACAATGATAAAATTATAACTAAACCAAACCCTAAAATTTAACATATAACTTAAACGCAATGAAAGAGCAAGTTAGGCGCAACCATACCTCTTCCTGATTGATGATCTTCTACAATCTCGTCGTCTACCTCCGGCGGGAATAAGCTAATGCAGAATTGAAGGTATTGGAGGAATCCGAGAGCGCTTACCAGAGCTGGAGTAACAGTGAAAATGTCGCTTGAAAATAAAATACGCGGCGTTTCCATTCTTTATTTTCCGGAATTCAAATGAAATGCGTTATCTGGTCGGGTCGCTAACTCTGACAAGACATAAAGCAAACATATTAAATTAAAAAATACCTAACAGATGTCGCATTTCTATTGGCGACCGAACGCAGAGATGGCTTCGGTCACCTGACCCAATAATTTGCCATCAGGTCTCTGACAGGCATCTCAACTCTCTTCCTCCATCTCCTCCTATGGTAATAAAAAAAAAAAGACTACTTCCGATTTATCTCTAACAACCCACAATGCAAATAGTGCTTCACCGAAGCCAATAACGCTTTGAAGCTTCACCACATCCTGGCAGTGCTCTTTAATTACTAATTAGTCTTATAAAGAAAATAATTTTGATTTCCAACTCTATATCTAGGGTTGAAACCTAGACCATAAAATCAAATTCAGCAAAAGCAAAAAAGAAATTAAAAAAAATAAAATAATAAAGATGCAAAATCTCAAACATTGCCAGCAAAAGAATGCAATTTTCTATTTTGGTTATCTTCAGCGAATAATATGAAAATAGCTCACTTACAGAGACAATTCTCCAACCCCAACAGTTTGGTACTCCCTCTTCCCCATGGTAACTGTCGAAAGTAAATCAAACAAATACGACGCAACTACTTTACCCAAACAATCCCTCCGGAAAAGTAAAATATCAAAGCAGAATACAGTAACTCGACTCACCCGTTAGAGAGAGGGAACTAAGCGGAGGAGGTGAGGAGAGATCCATCAGCCCAAGAACTGCACGCAATCCGAATCAAGCTCTTTGCTTCCTTTTAACAAATAAAAATAAAGCTGAAATACAATACCTGAGACTTGAATGCTACCCGGCATTGGAGAAAATATTTCTTTCTCTTTGTAGTTCTTCTCTCTGTTTGGAAATACGGCTTAGAGATTCTATTTGTTATTACATTTTATTTATTTATTTCTGTTTTTTTAGAGATTTTAGAAGCTGGGAATAAGTCCGATGGCGGATGGATGTTGGTTCTGCAGATTTGTGGTAGGCTTTTTACCAATGGACCCCAGAACAAGTACGGTGCAGAAGAATCATTTGTGGCCTATAACACATAACAGCCTTAAAAAATTCACATTGAACTTCTTTCCAAAATTATCACTCAATGGCCTTTTTTTTTTTAATAAATGGATAAAAATAGGATTTAAAGCAAAAGAGGATTTAGTAAATCCTGCAAATTCATAAGGGGCTGTGTGGTAGCAGGGTTTGAGCTAAATCCTGCCAAACGCCAAAAAAATACAGCAAGTTAAATCCGCCCAAAATTTGGGATTTTTAAATCCGGGATTTACAGTAGAAAGGGGGAGACGAGGATTTATTCCGCCGTGAGATTTAGCGGGCACTCAAATCCCGTTTGGCAGGATTTAACATAAATCATGCTCATAACCGGCATAAATCATGTTAACTCCTGCATCCAAACAGCCCCTAAATCTCACGGCAAGTTAAATCCACCGTTTCCCAATTTTTACCCTAAATCCCGGAATTACAAAATCCGAGAGTTAGGATTTACGGCGAGAGAAAGCGCTGGAGAAAGGTGCGGAGTTGGAACCGGAAGCCGTCGGTGAGGTTAGAAGCTCGAGATTGTACCAAAAAGGCTGACGGAATTCTGCCTAGTGCCGGTTAAGGACCTACGAGATAGCACTTGTGATCATGAAGATGGTCGTTTGCGTTGCCGTCGTCGATCACCAGGTCTCTGACAGGCATCTCAACTCTCTTCCTCCATCTCCTCCTATGGTAATCCAAAAAAAAAAAAAGACTGCTTCCGATTTATCTCTAACAACCCGCAATGCAAATAGTGCTTCACCGAAGCCAATAACGCTTTGAAGCTTCACCACATCCTGGCAGTGCTCTTTAATTACTAACTAATTACTCTTATAAAGAAAATAATTTTGATTTCCAACTCTATGTTTGAAAAAAAAAAAAACTCTATAATTAAATATATAAAATTTAACAATTTTATATTTGACTCGTTTATGTTCATCAATGGCATCATTTAAAACTTATGAATAAACTTGATATGAAAAAATTTGTTGAGAAATTTGATTCATATTTAATATAGAGATCATGAACAAACTTATTTTTAAGTAATGTTTGAAATTATATATATATTTTTTTTTAATATTGGCTTAAATCTTTATTTAGTATTGTTGTGTCTTGGAATATTCGCGGCGGTAGAGAAATATAAAATTTAACGTCTTAGCTTTGTATGATGATCTGGCACGCAATCAGATAAAAAGATATGGTGCAGCATTCATAAGAGAAAACAAGATTTTTACGTGGAAAATCCTGAAAAGAGGAAAAATCATAGGACCTAACTCGATTTGAATGAATCCACTAGTATTGTAATTGATTACAAATGAGGCCCTTCAGTTGGGGGAAGGTCTTGGCTTGATGTAATAAATATACATCATACAAAGTATGTTACATGGTGAAAACAGAAAGAATCATTGTTGATTTATTCGTTTGGTCAGAAGGATCGTTGTCGGCGGGCAATGGAGGTCATAAAGATCGTTCTCTAGTGATGTAGGTCGAAAGGATCATAGTCGGCGGGCAATGGAGGTCTAAAGAACCGTTGTCTAGCGACAAAAGTCAGAAGGATCATAGTCGGCGGACGACAGAGGTCGGAAGGAGATGGAGGCCTGACATCAATTGGTGGTCTTACAAAAGTTCAGCATTACTTGGTGGCCAGGCAGAAAAACTGGCATTAATTAACAGTCAGGTAGAAGTCTAATGTTAGTTGGTAGCTAGGTAGTATTTCGGCGTTAGTTAGCAGTCAGACAGAAGTTCAGTGATAGGTAGAAATTCGACAACAGGCAGAAGTCTGGCTTCGGGTAGAAATCTGATGACGGATGAAAGTCCGGTGTCGGGTAGAAATCCGTGGATGATCGGCGACAGGAAGAACTCCAGTGTTAGTTGGTGGTCAAGCAAAACTTCGGTGTCAATCGGCTATCAGGCAGAAGTCTGACGTTAGTTGGCATTCGGGCATAACTCAAGTATTGGTAGGTTATTGGGTGGAAGTTTGGCGGTGGTCAAGGAAGAGTCTAGTGGCAAGAGAACTCTTCCTTATCTTTCCTCTCTTCTTCCTTGGGCTCCCTTCTAACCCCCCACCCCCCTCCATCCCCTTCTATGAGAAATGACGGATTTATTTATAGTTTTCTAAGAGTAGCATGGCCCCTAAATAGGAGGAAGATTAAGGGTAAATTGGGAGCGATTTGGATGGACGGTCGATGTGTGAATCCCTTGATTGTGTACCGTTTAATTGGCATTTAAATATCTCAATGATATCATAATTTGAGGATCTTGGGTTCGTTGGATTTGTCTCGTTGAGTCGGTCGATTCGACTATGAACATGTCACATTTGGAAACCATTTAGTAATCTAAAGTATGGATTGAACCTTCCAAATGCGCTTCAAGTCTTTGATTTGGACTCATTTGAGCTCAAATTGAGTTGAATTTGGTGCGTTGGGTTTGTATTTTTGAGAGGTTCAGTTCAACTATAAGTTTATTGAAATAAGAGTTCAAAAGATCTCTGATTTAATTTTTGAAGTTCCCAATTTAATTTTGCCTCGATATTCATGTCCGATCAAGATAACGTTTTTATTATATATAAGTTGTCCTCCTATTTTTAGACATCGAAGCATGCAGAGTCTAAAAATATATATGATAGTATTTTGAATTGGTTGAATAGCAAAAAAATGCCAGAAAATTCTATTCCAAAAAATTTTAAATTTACTCAAACTTGATCATAAAGGCTTCGTTGAGCTTCGAAATGCCAAATTGAGCCTGGAATGTCGAAAAACAGTTTCGGAGACCCCAAAAATGTCCTTGTGTTGAAGTTAGAATTTTGTCATCCTTCCATTTTCTTCTCCTTGGGTCTTCTTCTTAAATTAGAGACATTTCACTATCTTAAATAGGTGGCATCCCCTATCAAATTTCAGTTCCCCTCTCTCGTGTAGAAGTTATAATTTTTTTCTTCTTCCATTATCTCCTTATCTAGCTTCTTCTTACATTAGAGGCATGTCATTATCTGAGATAGGTGACATCCCTTATTAAGCTTTAGTGCCATCTTTTGTGTAGAAAAAGCTTTCTCCTCCTTCCTTTTTTTTCTCCTCTGATTTTCTTCTTACATTAGAGGTATTCTACTGTTTGAGATAGGTGGCATCCCCTATCATGCTTTAGTGCCCCTCTTTTGTGTAGAAAGAGCTTTCTCCTCATTCATTTTTCTTTATTTGTGTTTTTCTTCTTATATTAGAGGTATTCCACTATTCGAGATAGATATAATCCTTATCGAGCTTCAGTGCCCCTTTCTTATGTAGAAGAAGTCATGATTGTTTGAATAGTTGCTATTTGAATGAGTTATA